ACGGCAAATGTTAAATCTTTTTTTTGTGTAATGATAAAATTAAAATCAAAAATTTTTCTTTATTTGGAAATTTGTAAGACTTACATTTTACAATATTATTCTGAAATTTTTGGTAATACCAAATGTTCACTTTGTCTGGTTTTGTTGCAAGCATGCCCCAATATTAATAAAAAAAAAGGGCTAATATTTAAACCCGTTGTATATAACAAGAAATTCGTTGTGGCGAGGTCTGTTGTGACGAGGTTTGGCTGTATAGGATTTTCCTTTACATAAAAGTAAATTATTTATGTAGATCAACATAGAAACTGGCACCAAAAATTTTTATTTTTTTAAATAAATGTTAAACCATTTATTTTAATAATGTCTTCAAATGAAGTTGTCAGAAGAAAAAACGAAGCTCCAGTAAAAGAAGAGTAAACAATTATTTAATATATTTATATTTTATTTTATTTTATTATTTGAATTATAATAAAATGATTTATCATTGTAAAAGGTTCATTGATAAAAAAAGTGTTGCTAAAATTGCGAGTGAGGCTGTATTTGGAGATATCGACAATAATGATGATAAAAAAGATTTGGTAAGAACGATAATTCTAATCGAATTGTTAGTTGGTAAATGATGAATTTTTTTTTGCTCAACGGATTTGATTCTATATTTTAATTTACAGGAACCACCAAAAAAGAAATCACGTGTCACAAGAAAACCAGGTCAAAATAAAGGAAGTGCTGTTAAAAGATATTCAGAATCTTTAAGAGTATGTAACATTAATCTTATTTATTATAATATTATAATTGAATATTTATTTTGTGTTTAGTTTCTTAAAAGATTTAAATTATTATTTAATATTTTATAGTTGTGTCACAAAACTTCACTCGATGAAAATTGTGAAAATGAATTGTAAGTTTAATACATTTGTTGCGACATGTTTATATAAAGTTTTTTAAAGAAAAGTGATACTAAAATTTTCAAATAGATGTAAATTTAGTCATGATCTTCAGGAATATCTTCGGGTTAAAGAGAGTTATTCTTCAACCAAGTCAAAAACCAACCCTTTAAATACATTTTTGAGTAGTACAGTTTAATTTATTAGACTATTTCAAATGGTTGCTTCCAATTTCTTAAATTCGAACCATTTGTTAATGTTAATGAAACAATTGTTTGTGAAGTGATTGTTGACAAAATGAGTCAAACCCACATTAAATGTTTTATTTTTAAATTCATGATTTTAATTGGTCAATCAATCAACAATTGCGTGGGTTAAATTTTTGTATTACACATTGTATAATAATAACAAACAATTATTTCATGTGGCTGAATGTAGAAGGTTGAGTTCCGTGTGCTGAAATGGCCTAGAGGAATTTCTCTATGAAAAAATAACAAAAAAAAAAAAATTGGACAGCTGTCCTATTTATATGTTTCAAATTTAATAAAATAGACTATTGTCTTGGCCCAAGTGATGTTATTTTTTTGCAGAAGTGCAAAACCCAACTTAATTGAATTTTTATTCTCGCGTAGCACAGTATGCATGTTTTGTGACACAAAAAGCTCACATTGCATTCTCAGTTATAAGCTTGTTATTTTTTAATTTGGAAAATTGGGAAAATCATATATACTGCATGATCACCTTTTTTCCACATGATAAGCATTTATCATGCAATAATAAATAATATCTTTTTCTGACCGAAGAGAACTGTTTAGTAAGAATAGATTTTGTTATTTTACATTTTAAGAAGAGCTTTTAATTTAACAATTGAATTAATTATTGTTCTTTGTTATTTTATCATATGTTCTACTAATTAAGAATACTTTTTGGTGGTGGCAAAGCATCTTTTTTGTTTTAATATTTAGTTGGTGTGATGAAAATCATATAGTTGATTTTTTTGTTTACTTTATAAGAA